CGGGGCGAGGATTGAACCGGCTCCGCCCGGGAACCAATCAGAAGGGAGTTCTTTATTCCCGCGCTAGTATTCAACAATGTACAAGACAACAAGTATAGGTATGAACATAAACATGAACAAAGGAAGTAAATGCAGATAAATGGGGACAGTATGACAGGGTAGCCACGCTGGTGCTCTTATGCACACACCCTTTAAGGACCTCTTAGGAATGGGGTGAGGTCCATGATAGACATTTTGAGATTGAAGCTGTGAGGGTTTGAGGCTGTAACAACGGAGTTGGGTAGAGCATTCCAGGTGTCATATTTTCTGCAATCAAGTTTGAAGTGGTTTCCCTTGAATTTTTACTATCTTTGTGATGGCCACAATCATTTGAATGGGCTTCATAAAAGATATTGATGTAAAAAAATAATCTATAAGATCACAGTGAGTGCTGTGTCTTTCAAACATGCACACGTACAAATCCTTTCCTTTCCTTTCCATTCCCTTCCTTTCCCAATTTATAAGATCTTTAGAAGCCAGGCTAATGGCCAGATGAAGAGAAAGGAAAACAACACAACTGAATTAAAGTAACTGGGGAAAATAATAAGACGAAAAGAAGAGTTGCAGGAAACGGGCAAAAAAGGTAAAAAAAGTAGAACCGCCAAAGTTAATTGGCCTTTCAAAAAAACAAAATGCAGAAGTTGTGTCCTGGGCAGAGACAGGAAAAGACCTGGAAATAAACTTGCTGTTAAATTAGCAGACTTATGTTTAAGGGATGTGGTGGCTCAGTGGCTAAGACGCTGAGCTTGTCGATCAGAAAGGTCAGCAGATTGGCCGTTCGAATCCCTAGCACCACGTAACAGAGTGAGCTCCCGTTACTTGTCTCAGCTTCTGCCAACCTAGCAGTTCGAAAGCATGTAAAAATGCAAGTAGATGGGAAGGTAACAGGATTCCGTGCACCTTTGGCATTTAGTCATGCCAGCCACATGACTACGGAGACATCTTCGGACAGTACTGGCTCTTCAGCTTTGAAACAGAGATGAGCACTGCCCCCTAGAGTCAGAAACGACTAGCCCATATGTGTGAGGGGAACTTTTACCTTTACCTTATAGTTCCTAGCTTTCCTCAAGTATAAGACAGGACAAGAAACGATTGGAAGTCTTGTTCTCACTAAACAAATCACATTAATTTCTTTGTAACTGCAATAAAATCCCCCTCATCATATACAGTATTATGTGAGTTTCAGAGTTTTAAATATAGCTTGGTCCCTAATTAAAACAGGAAGGCACTTTTCAGCCTGTGGACCTAGAAACCTAATGGCAATGCACTTATTCCAGCGTCTCTTATGTCTTCTTGCTCTGACTACAAATAAACGTTTTCCACCAACTGCTGAGAAACCTTTCACTGCTCAGTAAGAAACAAAACATCTGCTGCATAACGGCACATAGGAACAATTAAAAATAGGAAAAGAAAACCCACCCATAGGGCCAATTTGCTCTAGTGGTTAAAGCTCCAGGCTAGAAACCAAAAGACTGTGATGGCAAAACTTTTTGTTGTTGGGTGCCAAAAATGCAAGGGCGCGCACGCATGCCAGCACCCATAATGCAAAGTGCACCCCACATATGCATGTGCGCACAAACCCACCCCCCATGTGCGGCGCACTGCTTGCCTCCAAGCTAAGCTTGGTATTTCATTCAGGGGGGCGGAGGAAGGCCGTTTCTGCCCTCCCTGGGCTTCAGAAAAGCTTCCAAAGCCTGGGGAGGATGAACATGGCTTCCCCCGCCACCCCGGAGGCCTTCAGGAAGCCAGAAATAAATTGTTTCTAAACTTCCGGTTGGCCCGTTAGGCCCGTTTTTCACCCTCCCCAGGCTCCAGAGGCTTCCTGAAGCTTGGGGAGGGCGAAAACAGCTGAAAATCAGCTGGCCAGCATGCACTTAAGCTGATAGCTCGCATGTTGGCAGATATGGCTCCGTGTGCCATCCTGTGGAATGTGTGCCATAGGTTCACCATCACGGCTCTAATTTCTTAGGCATGAAAGAGGCCGGGTGATTTGGGCCAATCACTCTTTTTCAGCCCAAACCACCTCACAGGGTAGTTGTTGTGTGGAAAATAGAAAGAGGAAAGGAGTATTAGGTATGTTTGCCACCTTGAGTTATTCATACAAATAATAAAAATGGGATGTAAACAAATAAATATGGCAGAATGTTCAATAGAAGTTATGTGAGATGTAAATCAATATAAATGTACTCCAATCTCAGAAAACAAGTTTTCAATTTCCTGGGTTTTGTTCCCCCCTCCAACTATTTAGGAAGTTTTATTTTTTCACAGCTGTGTTATAAATGGCTATGGATGTGAACTGTGTTGAACCTCATTTGTCTTATTACACAAGAATGATTACTTCAGATCTACGAAGATTTTGATTGCCTTTTATGTTTGTTTTATTTGGTGCTAGCTGATAACTTGGTATTGCATGGGTATTTATTTATAGGAGGGAAATGTCTGGACCAAACATAATGTCTAATGTTGGATTTTCCCCCTTACCAGAGAGAGCTCCCATGTGGAATACTGTGAAGCCGTTACCATGGCAACTCCACTGTGCTGTACAGTAGAAGCCATTTTATGGCAGTACAGTAGAAGCCATTGAAGGCACAACAGGCTGTATTGTAACAGAACACACACACACCAAGGGATGTTAGAGGTGTCTTACCCCCACAGTATTTGTTCCCAGAGAGTAATGCATCGGTATACCAAGTTTGGTTCAAATTTCTGGAGGCGTTCCAGAGTTATGCTGGTATACACACAAATACACACACACAGCCATTTTTATACTTATAGATTTTGATTAGCATTATATTGGCTAGATACTTTTGGCACTTCTTTTGACCTTTACTTTGTTATTATTATTATTATTGTCCCTTAGGAAACGTCCCTGTTCTGGGAAGTTTGGAGATTCCTCCACTTCATGATGGCGTCCCCCATCACCAAATAATAATTCTAGCAAAATAGGAAGCAGGAAGACGAGTGGCTTTCATTTTACCTCTGTTGTGCTGCAGAAGGACAATTGTAGGGTTAACAATCGTGGTAGAAGGGTAAACACCCAAAGATCTGTTGATCGTCATTGAGACAGCAGGGCCACTACTGGGCTTGGAGGCTTCATGTGGCTGGGGGCAGGTATCCTGAAACACACAAGGGCAAAGGTCATTACTTGCATAAGATTGCTGAAGACCGTTTTGGCGATGAAAAAGCAAATAAGTAAGTGGAACAGTTCAACGGAACCCACCAGGACAAGACATTGCTTTCACACAATGTCTTTCTTGGTACAGTGTGCACACACATGAAAAAAAAGGATAAGTAATTACATTCTGGGCCAGAAACAGGGAAAGTGAATACACAAGAGTTGGTGGCAGGAGTGATTGTCTGGGCACATGCAAGTCTCGAGCTTCGTGAGCTGTCTCTACTTTAGAGAGAAGGTTGGCCATGCTGTTTGCAAGCAATTAGCCAGCAGGATGTTAGTAAAACCAGGACTGCGTGAGGGAGGAAGAATGCGGAGTCAGTCAGGACAAAGTGGTGACCCATTCCAGTTTGGAGACTGATAAAAAAACTTGGTCAGCCAGTGGCAGAATCTCTTCATTTGTGGCAAGAGAAATACCCATACTGCTTCCAGCATAAAACAGTCTGAGCCCGTATAGTCATAATGAACAGGGGTGCAGAGGTGGGTTTCTACCAGTTCGGACCGGTTCGGCCGAGTAAGTAGTAACGTGGCCCGCCACGTCCCCGAACTGGTTCCATCGGCAGCGCCATAGGTACCACCATCTTGTTTTTTACTACTGCGCATGCGCGCATAGCGTGCATCAAGCACGCCCACATGTGAAGCACGGCCCTGAGCAAACTGGCAGTAATAGAAGCCAGAACCCACCACTACAAGGGTGGTATTCACTTACTTTCCCTACCAGTTCGCAAATGTGAGCACACGCGCCCCGTCCAAGCATATGGGCTTGGCCTTCCACACATGCGCTTTGGATTGAAAACGTGCCTAAATGGCATAGCATAGAGCTGGGGCGGGAGGGGGCACGTGCAATTTCCACTGCTGGTTCGGGTGAACCAGTCTGAACCAGCTGAATAGCACCTCTGATTCTGAAGGTTGAAACCCAAAACATCTGGAAATGTTTTTTCCAAGCTGAGACTGAAAACAACTGTTTAGGGTCCTGCACAGATAATCCGTAATTGGACTGTTGATTTGTATTTTGTTGGCGCTCCAAAATAAATTAACTATACCTTGACTAGCTGAGCAACTGCTACTATCTGAGATTCAGTGAAGTCACACCCGGAGACAGAATAGTGGGAGGCAGGTGGAGTGGCCATGAAAGAGGACAGCTCAGTGAGCTGCCACTCTGGATTGGACTCTGCTGCCAGGAAGAGACCACGAGAGGGAAAACTGAAAGAATCCATGACCGGAGGCTGATCCTCTCACTGGCAAGGATCTATCTGGATCCCTGAATTTAAAATCTCACCCCCACCTCAATGTAATTCGAATGTGCTATGTTTGTGCTTCAGCCATGCTTGCCTGGTTTCTGTGACCCAAGGATGAAGGAAAGCATCATCCACCATGGCAATAACCTTTCATTGACTGAAAATCTGATTGAAAGAGTATCCAAGATGGAAAGGCTGTACCATCTGTTCAATAGCAGCAGAAGCAGGAGCAACTTCAGACTGGTACAGTAGAGTCTAGATCAAGTTCAAGCAATCCCTCTGGGGCATTTTTAATACATTGCCAGATGCTATTGATTGGTTCATCTATTGTATTTAGATGACAGCATGAGATATTCCAAGGGCTGGATGACCAACTCCGGCATCAGTAGTGGTATTCAGACTGTTTGGACCAGTTCAGGCAAACTGGTAGTCGTGACCTGGCCCACACCTGTCCTGGCTTTATGTCGTCCTATTTAGCCACATTTTCTAAGCCTTGTGCATGTGTGCAAGCCGCGCTCACAAGCAGAGCGCATGTGTGGAAGGCTGCGCATATGCACAGAAGGCACACGCGGTCACGAAGCAAGTGAGCGTGCTTATATACGCACTCATGGTTTCGGTGCACAGCAAACCCCTGGTAAAATTATGTGAAACATACAAACAAACCTGTAATATATACCCATCAACCAGGATCCTCAGTAATAGTTCTCCAGGTAGAGGCATTTTGACCCTTATCATTCATGCAGAATTGATGGAATACCTTGTCTTTTCTAACCTGAACTCCTTCCTTATGGACTTCCCCAATCTAACACAGCAATGAGCCTTCAGACCTACCCACTTGCATGCTGCCAACATATAGCTGATGGTCCCTGATAACACTAACTTATCTGGGTCATACTCATAACTAGACATTGTAAGACAAAAAGAAATGTTACTCTCATAAACCTGGAATGTCAGGTTGCATGGACTCTGTGTTCAAATCTATAGCTAGCACTCTTGGCTACAAAAGATTTCCCGAGAAAACAGAGATCCTTGGGGCAATTTTCCTAATAACACAATTTGAGTCACCATGGATTTTAGGCAGTGAACATCAACATCCTCACAAACATAGACTTCAAGCCATCAAAGAGCATCCTCACTAATACCAATACACTATGCCTAGCCATTGGACTGTGGGACTTTGCATTCACCCTTAACACTTCACTTTGGGTAATAATTTATACCTGCAAATCAATGGCCCAGCCATGGGCAGACACATCACTCCTCATATAGCATCATCTTCATGTTGACCCAGAACACTCTTTTCTTAAGATTGTTATTTGTCTTGCATGGGACATGGATCTGCCTTCTGTTTTTCCCTCCCTCCCCACCTCATTACAATTTAATGGCTGCAGCTCATAAAAGCTAATCCCTTAAAATTTCTGAGTTGAAAAAATGTGCTACCAGACTCCTTCTGATCCATAACTACATAATGGTTCATTTGGATGAATGACACGGAGTCTTTTGCATATGTCATCTGGGATGCTTTTGCTTATGGAAGAGAACTGATATGGCTGAATGGCTCATTACCCTTTGATTGATGCTGCTCACATTTTTAAGATAATTGGATGTCTCTTTCTGAGGGGTAGAGCAGTACTCACATGATGCTCACAGGTAATGGAGACCTTATGCATTCCTTAGTCTTGGCACCACCTCAAATGAAGTGGGTCTCTCTCAGACACAACCCCTCAATCCTCAACATTCTTGGCTTGCTCCTTTGGCCCTGTTGTGGCCCACCAGCAGCCAGTGGAGCTGGCAGCGGAGTTGGACAATGAGGAGGTGGGGAGGAGCATGGGCCAGTCCTCGAGGCTGGGGAAGGTTTGAACGAGGGCTCTGCCTTGGAGGCAAGATGGGGCTGAGGCCGTCTGGCAGTAATCAGGTGCCTATGGAGCTAGACAGCAGTGAGGCAGAGGAACAGCTGGAGCCTGTTCCCAGTGTGCGCATGCGCAGAACTGCACATAAGAAAAGAACAGCTGAGAATTCAGGGTCGACTTGGGAGTAAAGCCACAGATGGAAGGTGATTAACCCCTCCCATAGGAAATAAAAGAGGAGCGAAAGGGGAGTGAGCTTTTGCAGGAAACCATTCATTCATTCGGTCA